TATATTACTTCTTCTCTCTCTCTCTCTCTCTCTCTCTCTCTCTCTCTCTCTCATTTTTTTTATTTCTATTTCTGTTTGCTTTGTCCGGTTAAATTTTATTAAGAGGATCGACATTTTTGAATCTGACAACTTTATCAAAGCTGTTCGCGATCAGACGATTTAATTTTTTTTTTTATTAGAATTCAGTATTTTATTTTATTAGAATTCAACATTTCTGCTAGCTGTTCGATCAACAATATTGTTTGGTGTACAATTTTACGTTTGTATTATTATTGTCACGCGAGCAATGAAGAATACTGAATTATTGATAAGTTTAGTAGAAGAAAAATCTGCAATATGGAATAAGAACGCATATATTTTTACTGATTCGGCGAAATTATCGATACGATCGATAAACCGTACTGTGTGTAAATAGACTTTTACTATTTCAAAATATTTAAGGTTTTGCAGAGTAATATAGTAAATTCATGCCGAACGTACGTATGTTCATCGAATTTCAAATTGATCTTGATGAACAAGCTATTGTCTCACATTTTGCATCTCGTTTCGTGGGCTTAACATGTTACCCGAGATAACGATCGATTTCCCTCGGTCGACATAATCTAATTCCATTAAAAATGAAATTAAATAATTTACATGTAATATTTAAAATTTTCTGTCATTGTCGAACTACTAACTTTCTAAATACGAAAAGGTATATATACATTGAAATAGTCATATTTCGAGAGGAAAAATACGATAAATTATAATAAATCTGATTCAAAAAAGCTGCAAGATTTAAAAGTAGATTTCTCGTCCTTTAAAAATTAATATAATTATCAATATAATAAATAATTGCTAATATTAACAAACTGATATAACTGATTGGTATAATGTAGGTAATATTGAAGCGTAAAAAACGAAAAGACAAAGTCATTTAAACAGTCAAAGTCAATATCACTTAAGCTATGTTAGATCAATAATAGGTGATCGCTGCTCCAATTCTGCACGGTACCATTGGCCAACTTTGATCGCTTATAACTCAGAAACTACTGCGGCCTCGACATTTTCATATTAGAATTAATTAAAATATAATTAATATCCCTTCAATATATGCTATTAAAGTGAAATTGAACAACGATTACATGAGATATATTCTACATAATAAATTACATACAATATATAAATAAATAAATAAATATATAGTATTCATTTATATACATATTTATTTATTTATTTATTTATTTATTTGTTAACATTTATGAGATAAATATTACTTATCAATTTTTCGCACTCGTGAAATTTAATTCGCGAAAAAAAGTTCTCTATTTTCAATCATAAATGTACAAATTTCGTAATAAAACTTATATTACCGCATCAATCGCAATATCAAAAATTATGATTTTCAGCATTTAACCAAATCGGATTTTGCTTATTTGCAATTCAGTTTTGTATAATTTTTGCCGTACGCTATTTTCACTATGTTAAACAAATGTATCGTATCGCAAATGAAATGCATATGTAATGTACAATATTTACAATAACGCGCATCATAAGTGCGAATCATAAGTGGATCCTTTCTTTAGGAATGAAAATGACGTACGCGTGCAAATCTCCAGAGACGACTGACGATTTTGCGAGCAGCCAGAATCACAGTGGAGTATATACGGCGACTGCATTAATAACGCAGCGAAATATTAGATCGTCGGTATACACGGTGGATAATCCGGTGGCGTATATGAATATGCAGGTTTCCGGGGGGGGGGGAGGGGGGGGGCTGGCACGGGACGGGACGGTAATTTCGTTCGACACGCGGAGTTGTGTTAATCCCTCGTTCCTTCGTGCATTAACCGCCTGTCGTTTCACCTGCAGGATCTGTGCTTTTGGTATTTTCATCCCTCCCCCGGGACACAATGCCTGCGAATGCGACACCCCACGCAACAACACTTGCACGCCACTGTAAAATTTAAATAATCTCTGTCAAAGAGAAGCTTACGGTTAAAGATTAATCATGGAATCCGTTCTTTTTAGCTGAACTGACTGCACTAGTTCAGAGTTTATCTTTCTTCTTCCAGTTTCCAGAAAAGAAGATAAACTAGTCAGCCAGTTCAGTCAAAAAGAACAGACCTATCGTCTCATGTACTTAAGGACGACCTTTAACTCTTTGAGCGACGACTCCCACGTTTTAATCCGCCTCCAGCGTATTTAAAAACTAATCTTGTCGAAATATTTCGACAAGATTAGTTTAATAAATTAAGCCTCAATCTTAATTAAATTTTAATTCTATTCGAAATAGAGGGGATCCTTGTATTGGAAATTAGATCGTTAACTCGTTTCTAAAACATGTCAGAAAAGAATCTTTGTCAAAACAGTCTTTATCTTTTGTCAAAGGTTCGAGGTTTAAAGACGTTTAAAAAAATAAGTGAGACTCTTATTGAAACTAAATTCTTACTCACCTTACTAAAATTCTAATAAAATATTTATATTACGAAAAGAACAGCTGCGAAGAAAATCGCACGGCGAATATTTATATTGCAAAAAGAGCCGCTGTGAAGAAAATCGCATGGAATATATTTATTACACATTAATTACGCGCGTAAAATGATTAGCTAGCAACCTTTGGCGGAGAAGTTTTACAACCGGAAGTTGTTCGACAAACTAAAGTTTTTGCGCGGCTGCATCTGCTAAACGTAAAACGTTTATTAACGAAGAGTGGGCGTATCAATTATGGCCTTTGGCAGCTTGCAAAAATGAATAATTGAAAAAACCCGAGAGCACCCGTTGAGACTCGAATAACAGCTCTACGAAGATTAATTATTAAACAAAGTTTAAAGGTCGCAAAAAAAAAAAACAATAAAATCACTGCAACATCGATCTCGAGATAACAGCTTTCTATTTGCGATTAATATTACGCCATTTCCATGTATCATCCGGCAGACGAGAAAAACTGAAAATTTAATATCGAATGGCCCCGAATTGCTTCGAATGCAATCTAGCGAAGATTAAAGGAAAATTGCCGCGCCCTTTACGAAGTTTACTTAACAAACTACGCATGCAAATTGCTTGTCTATCGTTATCGTACAAGCCAGCAAACCCATGTATCGATGTCGTCTCGATAACATCATACTGAGAAGCCAAGAGTAATAATTTTGACACGATCTAATCGCTAACAATTTCACACGTCTAAGAAAAGATTCTAAGTAAAAGTTTAATATTTAATATCGAATGGGAAAATTGTAAACGTGTGCTCGCAAAAGCTAATTTCTAAAAAAAATGCATATTTTTCAACAAGTGAGTTTACTATATTAAAATTTCAATTATGATATTAATTCCATATGGCAATATATTCCCGACGTTAAATACCGGTTTAATACGGAAAATATCCAACGATACTGTGTTGCGCATAAATAAAATACCGCGCGGACGAATGTCGGGATAATTGAAATTTATCTCTCGGCGGGCCAAGATGCCGCTAATTGAGCCTGGATTTAATTAGCCGCGTTCCGAGCGAGTACGACGTGGGCAAGATTCATTCGCCGTTTTGTTTCACAGGATACTTCCCGCTGCCGTCGGTTTATTGCCTCGCCTGGATCTGCCTCGACGTGCTATTCTGCACCGCCAGCATAATGCATTTGTGCACGATAAGCGTGGACCGTTATCTAAGTCTGCGCTACCCGATGAAATTCGGGCGCAACAAGACGAAGAAAAGGGTCACCCTGAAGATCAGCTTCGTGTGGATCCTGAGCATCGCGATCAGCCTACCTCTGAGTCTGATGTACTCGAAGGTGAGCCGTCGCATTTTCGCGTCAACCGCATTTTCGATTTCCGTCCGCCATAATTATCTTATCGAGCGGAAGAATCTTTCAGTTGTCTTCTTTTTACCATCCATCTTTCTAACGCTTCTTTAGCTTTCGTGTCATCGTTCGTGTTCTCGCGAGTAGTTAAGCGAGTAGATAAGCACAATTATCGGTCAGACAAACTGCATTCTGTCTAATTCTTATTTCTCTTTCTAATTCTTATTAATAATTAGAAAAACTATTTTTTTCCAGAATAAAATTCTATAAAAAAAAAAAAATGTATTTCATTTATCTCTTCTCCTATGTTTTCAATTGCACCGCCAGTTCAAAAACACCTTACATTTTCTTCTATCGTGTACGAGTTCCATCTGGCTGGTTCTCTATTGTAGTTCTGAAAATTTAATATTCCTTTAATGTAGTTCTGAAAATTTATATATTCCTACACACGCACACACACACACACACACACACACACACACACACACACACACACGCGCGCGCGCGCGCGCGCGCGCTGATACATGCCAGCTTGTAACGGCCAAAATGTAACCGCGATAATTTTTTGCTACATTTTGCTCCGCGAATATCTTTCCCCGTAATGATGAAAAGATTGCGAGGTTTCGTCCATAAAATCCCTCTCAAGCGGCAAACGCGAATCTCGATAGACGAAAGTTTATCGCCGTTTGCGGGAAGCGTCGCTCATCGATCATTCTCGATGCGGGATAGGAGCAGGATGGATTTATACGAAACTACACATCGCGGCGCCGTTTTTCATCGGTGGTTCCCGTCGGAAAGGAGAAGGCCAGCGCGATATTCTCTCTCTGGGCCGAGCAAAATTAACAGCGCGAGATGAGGCGACGCTGTATTATGAAACAGTTGTCCGTTGTTTCGACGCACGCCCCCTCGTAAATCCCCGACTAACCCTTCAACCGGCCGTCGTTTCAATGCGGCTTTATGCCACAACCATCCCGAAAATCGCGTTAAATGTCATCGTCCAAATCCCGAGCCTTCGTCAGCCTGCTAAATAACAGAGCGAATGCGCATTTCAAGAGTCGCATGTTGCTTTTATGATTTAATTCGACGCATTTATTTTACAGCTTAATACGCATGAAGCTTGTCCCGTCTTCGGTTTATTATTTATCGCTGTTACATATTTTACATTTACGTGTCGGGAGTGTTTTAGTAAAGTTCGAAAGAAAAAAAATAGCGCGTCAAAGAACCAACTAACTGTGCGCGACAACGAAGTAATTATACATGTCGCCTTTAATTTTCGCGAGTGAAAACATGAATGCAAATTCTGGCCGGGAAAACGCCAGCGTTATGGGTTTTCCCGAGATGGATGTAATGTGTACACGTCTAACAGGTTATTTTCTTACCCCGAGCGTGTTCATCGTCGTAGAAGCTGCCTCGGCTTGCAAACTGCTCTTGCAAATGTGCAAACTACTTTCGTTTCATGGCGCGAGAGAGAGAGAGAAAGAGAGAGAGAGAGAGAGAGAGAGAGAGAGACGACGAGAGCACCGCCACAGAGCGCCGCATCGACGAGTTTGTCGGGCGAGTTTCGGCAACTTTACAACACCATTTACCAGCACGTTTCAGCCTTCCTTGGGTATTGATCCAAATTTCGCGGTCGCCATGTACTCATTCAAAATTCCATCCAACGCCCGAAGTAAAATTTGTGCCCGATGTCGGTGACAAAAATATACCATTTCGAGTTTGTACGCGTGTACCGCGTTCTCCTCCGCGTTGTAAAATCATTTATTCGAAATGCAGTTAATCTAAGAACCAACCCTGACGGCTGTGGGAGGAATAAATGGAAGAGGGATAAAAAAAAAGAATCTTCACGATACGTCACATTCTGGATGCATTCATTTTTTCAATCTGGACATTTCTGAGAGATGCGAGAATTTCGGAATTTCTGTGAAATTGGATGTCAAAATTCTGAAGTTTGTGAAATTGACACAAGCTTTTTATTTTTAGAAACTTCAGTGTCGCAAAAAAATCTGTTCATTTTTGACGTCTCCACTGCTCAGGTAGTAAATACTTTTACATTTCTGCATTTCGGAATCCTTGCTTCAACCATCAAATTTTCCCTTGAATGTTTTATCCTCTATTGCATAATATGAACAGATCCAGATCCTTGAATCTTCGATCACCCGACTTCCTTTCTTTCCTTTGAAAAACCTACGTAGAAAATTAAAGGGCGCGGTGATATCATTTTCGAGCCACTCTCGATACCCACGAGACCTCACGTCGAGTGTTATCGACTGACGTCGAGCGGAATTCGCACCTTCCGGGAACACGTGTGGCGGATGTACACGTGCGTGGGCTGCAATCTTGCAACGAGGGGGTGTCCATCCCCCATCCTCTTCCCTACTCCCTCTCCTCTGTCCCTACCTTGCAGTCACCAACGTGTTATAACCCGCGCTCGATCAAGGCGACCGCCACGAAAGCGGAACACGAGCTGACCATTACGGACGACGGAGACTGAAAGCGGAAGCGTATTTCAAGGAAGATTCATGTCTACGGGGTGACCCGCAAACGCCACGTCAAACTATAACGATGAGTACGATGAATTATGGAGTGTATTGTCTCGCGGAAGCTTCGCGCTAACTTTCGAAATAAAGTGGTCGGATGGACGTGTAAGAATGACTCGGCGATCGTGTCCATGAATCTAAATTATTAATGAGTGATTTATAGGAAACAACAAGTCAAGAAGTGTTGACAATCCATTTATTTACTGCTATCGCATTTAATAAAAATCATTTTAGCCGCATCCTAAAATTGTAAAAGTAAAAAATTTTCAATGAAAGATGAATGTAATTTTTTATAAAAAATTAAATATATCATTTCATTAATATTTGCTCCTGTAAATCCTGTAAATAAAAAAATCGCCAAATTCATTTGCTTGGTCTTCTTAATTCTTTGCTTAAAGATTAATTTAATTAAAGATTTATAAAAGATATATATTTTATTATTTATTTTATAATTTTTAATTAAAGAATTATAAAATAAATAATAAAATATATATCTTTTCGATATGATATTATAATAACTTTCCAATATTTCATTAATTGGAAAAAAACCACGTCACACGCACAAAAAAAGCATTAATGTTAGAAAGTTAATTAGAAATATAGAAATCGTTTATAATTCTTTCTATGGAAATGTAATTTATTAATATATAATTTGTGTATAAAAAATAAAAAAACTCATGAAAAAGTAAATTATGAATTTATTTACAATCATTGCACAACGATACGAATTATTTTCTATATTCTTTCTTTTTTTATTTTTGTTAATAAAAATAAATTTCTAATTAAAAAGAAATTAAATATATTCGTATTATTTCATAAATATCCCTACTCATAGCTTTGTAAATAACTAATTGGCGAGCTGTTCATTAATCTTCTCAATTCTGTTTAGAAACGTAATTAAAGGGTTGCAGGTGAGAGACTGATAACACACAGTAGCTCTGACGCAACGGCTTTATTGCAGCTCGCAGAGTATTCCGCTGATTAAATAGATATGCGAAAGAAAACCGCAATGAATATAAAAAAGAGGCAAAGAAGATATTAACGAAAAAAAACAACGAGTATATCGCAATGACGGACGACAGGATGACGGAACAGAGTGACACGTGTTTCCGGCCTTTAATCTTCAGTATACTCGAAGGGCTCGGGTGGTTCGGCTTCCTTTTCTTCTTCCGGCTTCGGTCCGAAAGCTAAAACAAATCGGAACTATTCAAGCGCACACCCTTCAAGCACATACTCGATACTCCAATAAAAACATATCGAATTAACCAGTCCATTTATAATTTTATTTTTAGAAAATAATTTATCTCCTATTTTAAAGTGTGAACAATAAAAATATATCTAATAGATCACCTATAATTTTTGTATATACAAAATATTAAGTAGCGTATACCAGGTTAATAAATAACATGTGCGAATAAAGATAAGTAGTATGTTTAAATCTCCCTTTATTATTATAAAACCTGAAAATTAATAAATATCTCGAAATCAACGCTCGTAAAATTAATAAATGCGATATAAATATAATAAAAATTCAAAACCTCTTATTTTCCTATCGCAAAATTTCGATTCAACTTGTTCCTTATCCCTTAGATATATATTAATAACAATCGTCTTCTTCTTTAAAGACGATTTCTTAAGAAAAATAGTTTTGTGATTTAAGCAGCAAATATAGAATCAATCACTCACCGGCGACAGGCTCGACAAGTTCCTCCTCCTTATCCGTCTGCATGTACTTAACCATGACAATGCCACCGATCTGAATATCCTTAACGGGAGTATAATGACTACCCTCGGTTAGTTGAATAACCTTCAATTGCTGACGCAAAACTCGCGCAGGATTCTGAAGGATCTCGAAACTCGGCTCAGGCTCCTTTTCTCTTTCTCTTCATCTTTAGCTACCTTCTTCTCCGGCTTCTCCTTGGATTCCTTAGCGGGTTCTTTCTCATCCTTCTTCTTATCATCTTTCTCCTTCGAAGACGATGCAGCTTCCTTCACTTCCTGAAGCTCCTTTGGCAAAGTCTCTGAAGGCGGATCCTGTAATATTTTTTTAGTTTGTCTTCTTTTACGTAGGGGTTTGTCTGGAATCTATTAGCGTATTCTTTTCATATTATGTCATGTATTTATAATATAAATTATCACATTTACTACAGGAAAAAGCTTGATAAATTACCAATTACTTAGACACAAATTTGATATTTGAGTTATTGGAAATAAAAGAGATGCACAAAGCATTTTATTTTGGTTTATTATAATAGAATTGAAAGTGGAATTTTAATACATTTAAGAAATGAAAATAAAATTTAAATGTACCATATAACACAAACAGATGACAAAATAAAACACAAACAGATGACAAAATAAAACACATAAAGATAAAAATACATGTAAATATTTCAACGCAATCCATTTACAAACTTGAAATAAAAATTAAACAAACAAAAAATAAACAATTAAAAATTGTATGATTCATAAATTTGATGATTTAAATGTATCATAAACAGACGAAATATTTTAGCATTTTAAAATTAAATAAATCTAAACATTTACATATTCTCTTTGCGACGTATACGTTTACCAAGAAAGAACATCAACATTCATTTCGGTTATTAAGAATAAAATAGCAAGATCCTCATTCTTTTTCACATAGTTTATATATATATATATATATATATATATATATATATTTACTAAAAAATTATAATGTTGATTAAATTAATAGTTGCCAACATATAAATAAAAAATTTTAAACAATTTTAAATAAATACTTTAGGCTACTGATGATACTTATCATTTTATATTAAAACAAATGCACATTATTTTGACATTCTTGGAATTATCCCCGCTAATTTATTCATTAAATTTGATTTGGATTTATAAGAAATTGTTTTTTCCGACATATATATTTCAACATTTTTTCCAACTTACCACTTCCATCTTCTCGTGGGAATCCCTGGCCTTTCTCTCGGTCTCGCGTCTCCTAGCACGAGCGGCAATGCTAAGAACAGCGGTAGTGACCTTCTCTCGTTCCTCCCTCTTCTTTTCCTCGAGAGGTGCGGGGTAAGCGTATACGCTCGGCCTAGCGTTAGACTTAATCTCCAATTTGGGCATTTTCAATTGAGCGTTCAGAGCGATCATACATGTGGGCGTGAAAGCCAGAGCCAAGCAATGTGCCAATGGGAACCAGTACCAATATTGAGTGAACACCAGGGCACCGACCACAGCCAGCATGTTCGTATGTCCGGTACGCGATTGCAAAGACACTGTCACGTTACGGCCACCTAAAGAAAGGCGGAAGTCCGTTCTACATCACTACGCTACGTTGCTCTTGTCGTCGACTTTGTTTTTCTCATGATTCAACTTATCAAAATGTCAATAGCTTAAAATAAAAATGCAGAGATTCGATTTTTTTTTTATACGTGAGAAATTTTATACTCCAAAAACAAAAATTTTCAATACTTCAAAAAAAACTTGGAATATGCGAAATTAAAAGATTTCACTTTCAAGTATGAAAAATACTTTATAAATAATTTAAAAATTTAAAAACGCAGAAATTGAAATTATAAATTGTATTTATCGCATGCGAGAAACGCTAAAGAAAAACTCACCGGCGTCGATAATTCCTTGCGCCAGAATTGCTCCGAACTTGGCCATCACGTCCTCGTGTTTATCCACAACAACTTTCGCATATAAGGCCCTGAAATCTTTAACGCGAGCACACGTGGCTTCTGTCTGTTGTATCAAAATCATGGCAGAGGCGATCAGAGCACCTTGCCTGACGAAATTCACAGGGTCATTAGTCATTGGGTCCAACAGAGCGATAGCTTCCTTCAAGCCGGTACCCGCGCAGGCGATACCCAAGGCCATCGCAGCACCATACCTCACATGAGGGTTGTAACTTTCCGCTAAGAGAGACACCACACTAGGACATTGTTCCGGAGTTCTGGAACATATGAAAAAAATTGCGGTCCTAATTTCTTGAGCTCTTTCGAAAAATTTCCAACTTGTCGATGTTTACATTGACTCAATCCTACTAACCTAATAAACAATTTGTACTTTTTTAGTAATTTTAAATTTAAATTAGAATTAAAAAAAAACTTATTATCTTTTACCTGAGAAGAAGCTCATTAATATTCAATTTAATAAACTATTAATTCTCTTATATTATTACTTTATCAATAAAATGATACGTTATCGTATGATATTTAAAAGGATACGGGCACGTTCATAAATTTTAATTACGTGATAATTGATAATAATTTATTATTAATTTAATAGAGCCGCCACGCGTCTGGCACTCGCATATTCATACAAGTTAATATATCAAACAATAATTAACAGATCTATTTTCTCGCTCTGTTTCAGGATGATGATTCGGTGCTAGTCGACGGAGCCTGCCAGATTCCCGATCCCTTGTATAAGTTAATCGGCAGTATAATTTGCTTTTACATCCCATTGGGAGTAATGCTATTAACGTATGCATTGACAGTGAGGCTGCTGGCGGAACAACAGCAGAACATCGGCGGGACAGGAGCAGGTTGGTCATCGGGGTGGTTGGATGCCCCTCAGGGTGCCCCTCAAGGTGCACCCTCCGTGGCAGGTTAGTGTATTATGCACTAGCCTGTTCTCCCATTCCCCAAATCCCAAGATCGATTCTCCCGGAAATACGATAAAGCTTGCGTGAACATTTCGATAAAATATTCACGAGGCTCTAAATTCCTCCCTTTCGATCTTCCTTCTGATTCTCCAAATTTATGCACGCTTCCTTAAGGCTTCAAGATGCTTTCTTCGATAGAAGCGCGGCTTTTTAGGATCGTAATTATTATAAATAACAAATAGTCTAAGATATTACCTTTTAACAATTTCCTGCTTTCTTCCTACCCGCTTAAAAGCGATAAAAAAGATTATTATTAAAAAAAAACAATTATAAAAAAATTGTTATTATTTTAAATATTATCTTCCTGTTTAATTAATTTTCAATCTTTGGCAAATTTTTCTCTTAAAATATATAAAAATAAATAAATTAAAATATTTTAAAAAAGGAATTTAAACAAAATTTCAATAAAAGATACAAGACGTAATATTACACCGCAATATATCCTCCTCACAATTTTTTATCTCTTTTTACGCGCGACAATATTTCCTGGTTGTCTGTCGAGAACACTGTTATTCGGAAACGAGCGAGCGATAGAGGAAACTGCGACTTAGTTTCTCAACTTGATAAAAATTATTTATTCCGATTTATCGGCCGGCTTCCGGGACTTCAAAGGATACCGCGTCTATAGGCGTCTCATAGACGTTTCCCGAGAATGCTGGCGCAAATTCGTCCTCCTGAACAAAGCGTTCTCGAGAGAGAGGGGGGAGAGGGGGGAGAGGAGTCTCCCATCCCATCCTCTTCTCCCTTTTCCGAGACGGAAAGTTTCGCCGGAAGCCACATCGTCTATTGTCGCTTTGATTTTACTCGGGCAACCCTCCGATTACTGCCTCAAACGGAATTTGCATACCAACTTCATGGCGGAATGCACCACGCTATTTTATACACCACGTTGCACAATTATTGTATTTTAAAACACACTCTCGATGAAGTTTTTCCGGTCAACTTTGGAAAAATAAAAGTCGCAAACCCCCCCCCCCCTTATAAATATTTGCAGAATTAAAAACACATACGATAAGTGAGTTGATGAGCTGAAATCTGATTTTCTGAAACTTTTACATCTTCCAGATTTTCTGAAATGTTCTTACACTTTTCAATTTGTTCTCTTCACAGATCAAACAATTTAGAGAATTTCCGTTATCTCTATTCGCAAATATCCGCAGTACAATTTACCATTGCTGTATAAATAATTCGGCATGCAAAATCGAAGATGCCCGGTGGGTGAGCGATGTTCGCATGATTAATGGCGTCAGCGCGGTTCGTTTTTTAGCATCGAATCGATCCCGGAATCGAATGCAATAGGGCACTAGGCCGAGCCTCTGTCTAGAAGCACCCTGCGACAAGAAATTTCGCCGGCACGTCAACGGAAGCATGTCGACGTCCACGACGGAGATATGCAAATGCCGGCCATTATGCAAAGATCTCGGATGCGGCACAGTATGCTAAGAAGGCCGCGTCCGGCTACTCACCGATATGAAAATTAATCGATACCCCGTTGCGCGAGAGAGCTCCATTCACGGGCACTTAGTATTCCGTAAGATTGAAAGATTGCAGGACATGACACAGAAATCCTTTGAGTATACCTCATTACGAGCACGGCTCTTATCGATAGGCTCTATAGAAATATTCCAATAATTCAGAAAAAAAAAGAAAGAGAGAGAGAGAGATAAAGAGGGGATAAAAGATATTCTTGGATTAAATCATTCTTTAAATTAAAAAAATGGTAAATGACACAAATTTAAAAAGAGCAATCTTGATCCTTCAGAAAATCTTTTCATCAATCAATATTTTTCAGCATTATCTGGTTCTAGGAACATTCAGACAATACAGATTGCAATATAGAAATTCTTGCGAAGTATCGTTACGAGAAGTGGCTGAGTACCTCCTCAGTGAAGAGGGCTCTCATTAATTCATTTCAAAAAGCTTTAAATCGGAGAAAACGACAAATTCAATCTTCAATATCAGTCGCTATATTCATAGAAATCTCGTGTTTTTTAACAAAAAAAAAAAAGCGAGAAATATAAATCCTACACTTTCCGATGCAATCTTCAATCGCTAAGTCGCCTATATATAAAATCCTAATAAAAAACGATAAAAAAAAAAAAGATAAAATCCCCTTCGTAGATAAAAAGGAGATTATCGAAATTATCCTTCTTTTTTCTGTTCGAGAGAAAACGCAGATTAATCACTAAAATTCCCGATTCTCCGATAATTCATGCAGGAATAGAGCGGCGGGGCACCTGGAAGAGATATCTCCTGAACAAGGGTTCGGGTGGCAGCGGCGGCACGCCGCAACACACCTCCGGCACGTCGACCGACACCGAGCTGACCACCCTCGACACCCACGAGCTCTGGCTGCAGGAAAGCGAACCGCCACCCTCAGCCATGTCCGCCCTCCACGCCTTCGGCGCGGAGATGCTCAAGCTGTCGAGGGGTCTCGAGGGGATGGCCGGTAGTCCCGGCAGTCAGACACCATCAAAATTGACGGTTCAACACCAGCATCATCTGCAGCAACAGCAGCAACAGCAGCAGCAGCAGCAGCAGCTGTTGCAACTGCAGCAACACGGTCCATCACCGCGCAGATGCAGTTTTCGCAACGGGTATGACAAATATTGCAAGTCTACTTTGTGCTCACGAATTATTAATCATTCACGTCTGAATTTGCCTCATGATATAAAGTAAGCTTTATAAATCAAAGACAATAAAAAAGTAAAGTGTAATAATTGAAATAAAATAATAAGAGAAAATAAATTAAATGTACGGAAAACTATAAAAATGAAAAGACACAAATTACGCAATTTAGAAATAATGATAAATAGAATAAAAATAGGTAAAATTTTCATTCATTTTATTTACACTTGATTAGTTTAGAAAAAAAAAATTATTTCGGGAACCCTTTCTTTCCTTTACAAAAATCTTTTTTTAGACAATTAAAATATATAAATCTTCTTAATTTAATTAAAAATTGTAAAATTTCTTGATATTATTAAGCTTAACGTTCCAGCTTTGTTTTTTTTTCTAATTTATCGTTTCTCTGTGGTATTATCAAACTGTGTGTATTATTTTATGTAAAACATCGCGAAACATGTACGACGATTTATTCTCAGCGTAATTTTGCGAGAAGGAAATTTCCATGCTTGTCTGAGTTTTCGCGGCTGATGCTTTCGCAATTATTAACGACATATCCATCGCGTCGTAACCCGCGGGCTCTGAAAACACGCCATTGCGCTTGACGGCGGCACGTTCTGCGGCAATACGACGGCACGAATTTATGTCACTTTGTCACTCTGGGCTCGAACAACACCGTGACTACCACGAGACGCGGTTAGCCTTGCATCAAGTCAACTTACGGCGGCAGTCGGAGAGTTTCCGCGACGAATTTATGTCACCCAATCTCTACCGAGAATCCGCGCGTGCAACTATCATCAAAAATCTCAACTGAAAAACTTTTTATTATATAACCCATATTCACATTTACAACCGAATTCGATAATAATTAATCAGTATTTATCTTTCAATAGTCTTCAATTTGAATCTCGTAACGTTGCCAAAAAATAGGTAACAAAATGTCCTAAAAGCGCATCGCGTTACTCTTGAAACATTTTTGGAAAATTTTATCTTTTAAAATAATTTTCTTCTGAGTATATACTTTTCGAGTCTGCCAATAGATCTGCCAATATTTTCATTTATAAAATATGTTCTGAAAAAAGATTTCTGAAAGAATTTTATTTTATCTTTTTTACTCTTAAATAATTATAAAATCTATGAAGTCTCTAAAATCTAAACAATTATTCTTCATAATTTACGAATTCTTTTTAGACAGAGTAAGATGATATTTCGAAAGCTAAATATTTCGAAAGCTCAATTGAAAGAAAAATAAACTTTAAATTCATCCAGGAATTTAACATCTATTCCTTGAGATATCCTCACATACAGGATCATCGTCTACTACCTAAGGGAATCGAAAGAGAGTTGCGGGAGAGAGGAATTATATTTGATGTCGTTTAGAGCTTCCAACGTCGATCCACGGGAATACGCAAGCGGAAAGTGGAACGAGAACGTAGGAGTACGACTGGAATATTAAAGAACTTCCTCGACCTACCGTACTAAAATATGTTTCAATCATAATCTACCAATCCGCTGTTCTGCATCTTCGATTTTCTTTTTGCCTGCGTGTCCTTTAAGAAGGTATGTCTAAAGTTCGAGAGATTAAACGTTACAAAAGATCAAAACGGCAAGAGTCTTGGCAGAAATAAAATAAAAAAGTTTTACGAATTCAGGACAAAAGTAAGAACTCAAACGGATCAGAGAGTAAGAGTGCAAAAAAAGATGTTCGCGAGGGATTTCAGAATTTTCGTAAAAACGGCGTGCGACGATTTGCGAGGAATGCAATTCTGCGCGGGAGAAATTCTTAAACTGGAGATACACGATTTGAGACACGCAATATTTAGCAGGATGCAAGCGACCGGAAATCATATCGGATCGCCGCCAAAAGGCGAAAATCTTTCAAAGTAAATTGGCGTAATCATTAGATCGCAATATTTCAGATTACGCATCTTCCTTTTCAGCATCCTTCTTTTAATCTTGCACCTTTTAATGGACGTTAGTAACGAATTCCCGAAGCAAATTCCCTTTGGCTTTAATGATATATTTAAAGCCTCTAAGAGTCTGCTGTAACCGTCCCCATAAAAAAGTTAAAACAAATCTTAGATCGCGCAAAATTCTCGAACAAGTAAGCTTTTGAAAGAAAACCTGCACAACCTCATTCTTCATCATCGTGGCTCAGATAATAAATAATTTAAGTAATTTAGTCGCGCAAAAAATAACACCTGAACTAACAAACTCGGGATTTTTCGAAACGGACGTCGCGTCAAATTTCTCTGAAAATCTCTCTGAATTCCCGCGGGACTCATGTGAAAACGCGAAAGCGGCCGCGTCAGAAAGGTCACCGCGACGACGAGAAAACCCATTTATACACGGTACCCTCAAAGTGGATTGCACTTAGCTGCTGGCATTCAAAGTGCAAAACGGACCAACCTCCGGACGGGAATGAAAAGGGTGAGCGAACGGGGGGGTAGAGGGTGGGGCAGAGGAAGGGGGTCGCAGATGGTGAGTTTCGCCCGTTCGCTCGTGGTCGCGTACTTAAGTAAACTACTCTTGCCCCCACGTGAACCTCTAATAAAGGAATGCACTTAGGATCGTGCTTCTGAACGCATCAAACGAAGATTACCTCTCTATTGCGCGCAGAGAACTTTGCATTTCGCGAAACCGAGTTGCTTTCTGTCGATCTCGTAAATTAAATAACTACAGTAGTAGATCACCCCCTCGGGGTGATATTTTTCTCTTCCCCAATTGTTATATTATAAATTGAATCTAACATTTAATAATAATAATAATAATGGAACTAGCGAATACAATGATGAGATGTCTCCGAACAAGCGCACGATCGTTATTAAAAATGGAAGATACTTACTTACAAAAGTATAATATTTTTCGTACAATGCTTCTTTTTTTAACAAATATTTTATAAATTAAAATAATTTAATAATTCAATGCTTTCTCAAAATAGCATTTACAATTAGATTCAAATTTTACTAAATAACGACGAAGCAAATCAAGATCATTTTTATTAGATTTTTTGGATTTTTATTGACGTTAGAGATTTTTGTAACAAAATCTAAATTCTATAAAAAAATAAAAATAGAAATTAAAAGAAGAGTTTAATAACAATCCTTTTACAATATAACGACAAAAAAATAATCAAATCAGATTCTCTGTTTAAGATGCATTTACTGAGATGCATCTGTTTCTTCCGCAACTTTCCCCATCTCTTCCCTTCTCGACTCCTCCAGTTTATCTCAACCAATATTTTTCTCAATTTATCGTCAAGACCGCGGCCGTAATCCACTCCGAGGACAATCGGGCTGTTTCTCTTTCTTCCGGAAGCATCTTCAATTATCCCCGAAAATCCCGTCAACACATTTTCAAAGCACTGATAAAATTGTCAATCTTCAATCACGATAACGCTCCGATAACACTGCGGAAAATTGTAAGGAGGAACGTAGGAGGATAGCTATTTTCATCTCAATTTAAAAAAAAAAACTATCTCGGAATTTTGTCTACTTCAGAAATTATCGAGTATTTAATCTTGAGTTTCCTCTTAAATTTCTTCTAAAACTGAAATTTTACATCATTATTTTACTACTGTTTTTATTTAAAATTTTTACTTTGACTTGTTAATACTTTGTTTTCTTTCATCATCGTCATTATCTTACTTTCTAAAATTTAAAATTATATTTTCCTTACAATATTATTGCAAACACTTTTCAAACTTTGTGCACATTATTGGTTTGTTAATTTCATAGCTTTCTTTCTCGCGTGTGTTATTGCCTCGATTTTAATTCAAGATTTCACATTATTACCTCGTAATCGGTAGCAAGCATCGGTATAGCGAAGGATATTTACGAGTAGGTTGAATAACCAATATGCGAGAAGAAAATATCGGTCTGACCGACAACGATCTGATAACGATTGAACGATGTGGACGCGCGAACCTCACAACCATCAAAAATTCTCGGTACATATGCACATCTCGCGTGTCTCTAATTTGCAACGACGGAAGCAATTTTTTTCCCCACACTCGTGCACAAACTCATCCAATCTCGCGATCAATTACCGCGCCACACTGCAAAATGGGATGCAACCGTGTATTTTTTTTTTTCCTTTTTTTTCATTTCTTTCATTTTCTCGTTTTTCCTCTTCAACTGCACGCGGCCGATCGATTCCGCGTATCGAGTGATAAAGGGACTCGCGCTCGTATCGGAACAATAGACGTATGCACATTTCGTGACGGCGATATTTGTAGATTCTCTTTGAACCTGTGGATCGTAACAGAAAATATCCAAATATTTTCTCACCTCCGGCAGATTCCAAACGACAATTTCCAAGCGTCAAACAATAAGAGGATTATCCCGTGCCGAATAGACGAAGAAATCGGCGAATTAATCCTTCGTTCGCGCAGTTCTAGTTCATATAGAAGCTATATACGCGGATTATTTTCGACCCGATTGCGATTGATAAGGAAAGCTTTTGTCGCCCATTGAAACTTTTCAGATATTCCCTTTTTCTCTTCGGTTTGATTTATAACGGCAGAGAGATTATTGAGCGTGATAAAATAACAGGATTCGAGCATTAATCCCTCAATAAAACGTTCATACCTTTTTATCGCAGGGAGGATTATTTTGAAATCGATTACAATTGATAATAAAAGTCCCGTCAAGCGTGAAACCTTCCAAATGTTTCTCTCTTTGTCGATTTTAGCAAATAATAAAAAGTTTGTTAAATGCGAAATAACAACAAACTGGAAATATTAATTTTTCAATTACAAATATTTCATTTAATTAACTTAATAACTTTTCAAAATCCTAGATCTTTCATCAAAAAATCTCTATGACAAGTTGCTCTTATCACACATTCGATCTGGCTGGTCATTTATAGACTATTACTACTTAGAACTAAATCCTTTTAATTACTCTGCAACAAACTGTCAATATTATCCAGCATTATAATTAATAATAAAATATTGTTATGATAATCATAGTTTATTTTTTAAATATTTTTAATGTCTGATTATAAATTAATTATTAATTAATATTATTAATTAATAATTCTGATATTAATATTTAATGATATATTTTAATTTAATTTCTCTTATTTTACATAACAAAAGCATATAAAAATTATATTTATTTATACAAAAATTTTTTTGTTTCCAGAAGTGCAGAAAGCACAGAGAGCAGTATGTCCTGTTCGAGGACAAGCCTATCAACGGAAGAGTTCACAAGTCCGTGGAAGCATCGAAGACGGGCTTCGACCTACAACGAGGCTCATCTCGAGAGAGCGATGCAAATTTCGGGCTCGCCGAAAATTCCCAGAAAGAGATCCTTCAGTTTCCACGAGCAGTCGTCCTGTCGCAAAAACGAGGACGACTCGACGACACGCAAGAAGTATCACGACAAAACACCGGAGGGACCGATAACGCTACCACCACCCTGCACGTGTCCTTATTTCGGGGAATCCTCGAAGAAATTGCCGCCGTCGAGCGAGATTGTCATCGTCTCCAGCGATACTATGAAGCCTATTAGCCACAAAAGTCTGGAAGTGAGTCTCTCAGGCGAGACCACGAGACCGGTCGGCAACAAAATTCTGGAAATGGGCTTGCTGGGTAGGAACAATGCCAGATCAGAGGGTGCCAAAGGTTACGAACCGCTAACCCTCGCAAATTCTGTGGTCACGTTGCGAGGCGGAAGGCGAGGCTCCAGTCTGGGTACGTGACGATAAGAGTGGCGATGACGTAAACAACAACGCGAGCTTTCGATTAATTCTTTGATAATTGCCTGCGGGAAACTCTCCTGGCCATCGCGTGCCGCTAACGTTCCGCTAAAAATTGCGGAAATGAGAGAAAGAGAGAGAGAGAGAGAGAGAGAGAGAGAGAGAGAGAGAGAGAGAGAGAGAGAGG